TATAACTATTTGTATAAATAATGCAGTGGCAACACCTTTGGAACTCCTCCTAGGTTGAAGACTGAAGATTCAGACTGTGCCTGCTATGTCCCAAGTGCCTCGTCCCTGGCACAGAATAAGGTGTTCAATAAATGTGACAGGTATGGTCCAAACAAGAATGTAGTTTCTACCATAAGACCAACCACTCATTCAACAAAAAATGAACACTCTGCTATCTGCAGTTCTGTGGAAATATTCAGAAGAGCCATACATGAGTCTAGCTTAAAAAAGGGCAGAACACAGGAAGATAAAAGAAGTCAGGAAAGAGTTGAGAGAGAAGCCAAACTTTACAGACTTCTAAGATTTCCTTTTGGTTCATCTGGAGTTTATTACGTAATGATTTTTAGCCAGTCTGTGGTCTGAGCATGGTTTGGTTTTAGGATAATAATCTGAGCTCTACCGTACAAGCAGGGGAAGCAATCAGGGACATGCAGTTGGACGGAGCCACCCAGAGCTGTGGAAGTCGCAAGGCAAAGGTGAGAAGGGCAGGGCAGGGACAGGCAGGGGCTTAGGTTAAAAGTGGGAGGCAAAGGCTCGGAGTGCGAAGAGGAAATGAGAAACACGTCCAAGAGTCCGTCAGGTGATGAGGCTGGGGCGGCCCAGGAGGTGGCGAGGAGCCAGCGAGCCCAGGACCAAGCTGAGCATCCGGGCAGCCTAGGTGGCGGGGCTGTGGTAGAGGTAGGGAGCTCGGAAAGAAGAAAAATGACCTCAGCCTTGGAAATCCTGACTGGAAGTGGAGTCCTCCTGCCAGCACGATGTAAATGAGGGAGGTCGGGGTAGAGACAAGGATGTAAACTCTGAGAAATGATGTCAAGGCCTGATCCTGCCAGGGAAGGAGTCATGGAAAGAGCTGCAGGGAGAGGGCCCTTGGGGAAAGGCATCCTGAGGGGCCAAGAAGAGGATCAAGATGAGCCAGGAGAGGCGGTGGAGCGCAGGATCACGGAGACTGAGAGGAGCCTTTGCAGGAGAAGGGCTGGCTACCAGGAAGCAGATGGTAGCCCGCTGCGATGCCCTTGATTCACGGCACTTATGTCTACCAACCTGTGTTGTGTTTCAGTTCAGGGCAGACACGTGAGTGCACAGAAATCCTTCTCCCTCTCTCTTCTTGCAGCTGCCAGACTCTACACAATTGGATCTTCAATTTTTTTTTTCCCAGCAAAGTTACCAACTCTACAGAGAAAACTATTCATCATAATTACAAATCTATTGCTTTTTCTAAGACATTAGTGAAGGATAATTTATTTTTATGAATATCAGAGTAATATTTGTATGGTGCTTATCTTTCCCCAGACACCATTTCTGTGTTCTCCTCACGGAGTCCTGTGAAACAGGCTTGGTATTTTCATGGTGCTGGCAACTGAATGCAGGCTTCATGTGTGCGAGGCACTTGCTTTACCACTGTGGGACACTCCTAGCCAGGGCTTGTACTATTTTAAGACAGGACAATAGGAGAGTTACAGGTATGTGGCATAAGTGGTGACACTGAGACTTGAACCCGAGTCTGTCTCTTCTAGACTATGAATTCAACCTTGACTCTAAGTATAAATCTATTATGCCACTACTAGCCTTAAAGCAATTGGAAATCCCTCCAGGATCAATGACCTTGGAGTTTTAAATGAATTCAACTACCTTCAAATATTGAAAGATAATGTTACAGTTTGTGTCCTGTTCTCCCCACAAAGCCTCATGCAGTCATGGGGCTTACTTCTGGACTTTGGGATTAATTCATGATCCAGTGCTGGAATTATGAGTGTGAGTGCTACACCCAGCCTGGGGCAGGTAACTTTGTCTACATTTTGTTTGTGCCCAGAGACTTTGCCTGAGACTGAGATTAAGTGTGATGAACTGATTAATCTGACAAACTGATCATAAGGTAATCACAGACTCTAGAAGTCTGCCCCATGACTTCATGAGGTTTTTGGGGGACAACTAGACACAAACCATAACAGCTGGGAAGGAACAAGAGAATGGAAAGGATGGCCTGAGAGCATCACAGAAGGCAGCAGGTCTCTACCCTTGGCACCCTCAGAACTGCAAGGGTGAGAGATTTTACCTTGGAGAAAAAGTCCCAGAGCCCCATTTCCAGAATAGTGTGGCCACACCAGGTTCCAGAATGGCACTAGCATGGAGAATTTATTCCTTGAAATCAGGTCAGAGTACTCAGCAATCCAGGAACTTGACCCGTACAGCCAAGAAAGAAGAAAGCCTGGCTACTGCTCCAGCTGGCAGCAGTCCTTGGCATCATCCATGTGGCATTGGGTTTAGGCACCTACAGAATGCAGGAGTTCTGAGGTTAAGAAGGTGTCCACCTCAATTTCAGAAGAAGGCCTGGGAGGCCGGGCAGTGTGCCCCTGAGAGGGCAGTGTGTAAAGCTGTGAGAAGCCTATTCAGTGGAAACCCCAGATATTTGGAAAAACCAGGAATGTGGATCATCTAAGCGAAACTGCAAGAAGGGAGCAAAGTCAACCTAAGAGAGACACCATGGGAGCTACCACCAAGAGTGCCCTAGGGACAGAGCCACATGGAGCTTCAATTTGCCACAGATTGCTTCAGATGTTCCACATGGAACTATAGGACTTAATGTTGGCCCTTATGGATTGTGAACTTGCTTGGTCCCAATGCTTGGTATTCTGCTGTGTGTACCTTTTGTAATGGTAATGTTTATCTTATGCCATTGAATAGGGAAGTGTTTAACTTTTCATTTGTGCAGGGACTCACAGTTGAGAGTTTGCGTTGGATCTTGGAGGAGACTTGGGACTTGGACTTTTCAGCAATGCTGAAACTGTTGGAACTTCGGCAACTCCTAGAGATGGACTAAAATGTCTTTTGCACAAAGGGATGTGCATGAAATTTTGGGGGTCCTGGGGCAGAATGTTATGGTTGTATCTAGTTATCCCCCAAAATCTTCATGCAGTCATGGAGCAGACTTCTGGACTTTGTGATTAATTCAAGATCCAGTGTTGGGATTGAGTGTGAGTGCTGCTAGGATTATGGGTGTAAGTGCTTCTGGGATTATGTGTGTTAGCACTACACCCAGTCTGGGGGCAGATAGGCTGAATGCAACATAAAGGAGAGAGACTTGCTCTCCGTAGCCATTGTTGCCACTTCTCCTGCTCTTTTGCTCTCTTGCTTTTTGCTGCCATCATGAAAGGTTGCCCTCTGCCACTTGGCCTTGGAGCCAACTGAGATGAACTGAACCCTCCACGAACCTGAGCTAAATAAGCCTCTCCTTCCTTCATTTTGAGGGTCAAGCATTTGTCCCAGCAATAAGAGAAAAGTAACTGAGACACATAAAGCATGATTCAATTCAAAATCAGTTTGGAGGCTTGTTGACAAGGAGAGAAGCACTTGCCAAGTGAGCTTGCTGAGTCCAAGTAGAGACGAAAGTCGGTACTGATCGTCACGGTGTACTGAATGACATGGGATCTGTGGCTGCTCCAATCTTAAACGAAGCCTTTCCAACAGCCAAAATGCCCTGCCCCTGGGTGAGTGGCTGAATGTATGGTGGTTGGCCGAGACCTTCAAATAGTACTCAGCAGCAAAAAGGAATGCTTTTTGCTGCTGAGTACTATAGACCTTCCTTAATGCGGAGGGAACACAAAGTCAATTTCAAAAAGTCAAACATTATATGATTTATTTGTATTAACATTATCACAATGACAAAATTAGACATGGAGCCAGGAGCAGTGGTATATGCCTGCAATCCCAGCACACAGGGAGACTAACAAGGAGCATAGCAAATTCAAGTCCAACCTAGGCCACGTAGGAAGACTGTCTCAACATAAAAAAGGACTGGGAATGCATTTCAGTGTGAAGGTTCTGGATTCAATCCCCAGGGCCATTCGAAAGAAATCAGCAATGGACAATTGATTGTCAAGGAGGAGTAAGAAAGATCAGCTGGGAAGGTGGTGGTTGTGGCTAGCATGAAGCTACACGCTGTAAACGACACCAGGGAGAGGAGGGAAATCTTTGTGTGCTGAGACAGATCTATGACTTCATGGTCAGCCGTGGTTAAGCATCTTAAGGTGAAGAATTTTTTTTTTTTCTGTATTTCAGGGAAGGGTCTACAGGGTGTTCAGGGTCTCACTACTAGATCGGACTCACAAGATCCAGCCCAGCCCAGGCCCGGTGAGTGTGTGGGAGAGCTTCCAGCTTCCCCGCACCCGTGGGATCCCTCCAGACCAAAATTCAGGCACCTGCATGAGACCCTCTACTGTGCCCTCAGGACCCCTGCAGCCCTCCGGAGACCCTACCCCAAGTCCACCAAATGAGAACTTCTGTGACGCTCTTGGGACCCCCAGATCCA